GATGTGTTCCTCTTCCAACACACCTGATTCAAATGATCAGCTCATCATCAAGCTCTGCAGAAGCCTGATAACGATCCTGATCATTTGAATCAGGTGTGTTGGAAGAGGAACACATCTGAAACATGTGGAATTGTGGCCCTCGAGGACCAGGATTGCCCACCCCTGGTCTAGAAGCACATCTTTAAGGCTCCACTGAAGTTTGCTGCTGATCACATGAACAAAGAAAAGGCCTTCTGGAGGAAAGTTCTGTGGTCAGATGATAAAATGAGCTTTTTGGTCACAGTGACCAGAACTATGTTTGGAGGAGAGAAGGGGAGGCCCTTAACCCCAAGAACACCACACCTACCGTCCAGCATGGCGGTGGCAGCATCATGCTCTGGAGCTGTTTTATTCATCAGTCACAAGCTTGGGTCTCGGAGGCAGTTAGCTGCTTTACAAAGACAATGACCCCAAACTCCCATCACAGGTCGTGAAGAAATGGCTCAATCAGGCTAGAATTAAGGTTTTAGACGGTAAGTCCTGACTTAAACCTCAACAAGGTCCTGTAGACGGTGATAAAGGGTGGTCAAAGATACAATCAGGAACTTCCCAGAAGCTTGTGGACGCCGACTCAAAGTGCCTAGTCGAGGTGAAAATGGCCAAGAGATGTTTAACCAAATCCTAGCATTGCTGTATGTGTAGTTCTTGCCCAGCAGATTCATATTGTCTGTAGACCCATAATGAATCTATAAAGAACCAACATGTGTGATTGTTTTTTGTGATAAAGACGAGTGTTTCAGTAATTCCATAATAGAAAATTCTGAGTTATAAGAGTCATTGGAAACTCAAGACTAGCATGATATAACTTGGAAACTTTTTTCATGACTGTAGTGTAATCTCTTCACCAGTAGATTTCCACTGTAGTGAAACAAAGGGAGATGAATAACTGCCTGGAGGGCAACACATGGAAACCCCACCGTGCTCTGCCTTGATCGCTGAACCACCTAGTAACCCAGCTGTACCATGTGTGACGCCACTGTGTTTTGTCAGATGTGACAGATGCACCAGTACCAGAGCCTGTGGCAGAACCAGAACCAGAACCAGCTCCAGTGGTGGAGAGACCAGTGAGGAGCAGAGGGAAGACCCCCGTCACCACCCGCACCCGCAGCAGCCAGCACCACACAGTAAGAAAGACCCCGTCACTCACTGTCAGTCAGAAACAAGACAGCCCACCACCAGCTACCTGCAGGCTGGTCGTCACCTGGAGCCACATCCTCCTGCTTTATCCACATTTTACTTGTAGTTAGCTTATACCAAATGAGACTTTCCTGCTGCTGCTGGGGAACTGTGTTGATAGCCCTGTTCAGCTGGCAGCAGTTTATTTTCACTGATGTGTGTGATAGGAGTATGTGGGGTGTTGTCGGAGCGTAACTCGACTGCTGGGCTAACTATAAACCTGAATGATAGGGGAGCTGTGAATTTCCTTGTGAAATTATAGGTCTGAAAACTCTGAGTTTCAAAGGAAGTTGTAATGTTCCTGCTGTCGTACTAACTTTCTGCAGCACAGTCATCAGTGCTGAGGACCCCAGTGAACTGAAAGACCAACATCAGTGAAACACCAGCGACGGTTCTGTAGTGAAAATACAGTTAAAGCAAAGCTACAGTTAAACCTGCAGTGTGGAGCTTTGGTCTCACAGATAACATGACCAGAGTTGCTCAATGAATGAATGGCCTTGAATGTAACAGAGAGCCAGTCTGAATCAGGACAGTTGTGACACCACGAACAGCTAAAAAGCCTGTTTTAAAACAGAGCCTTCTCTCTGTGTTGTGTGGCTTCCCCCATGTTTTTACCCACGGGTGGTAGTTTAATGAAGAACAACCTAATGCTGTTGTCTTTTAATACTTAAAAAGCAGATTTCCCATGAGCACTGGACATCTGTGGGTTAAACCTCACAGCTTGATGGAGGCTTCCTGAGCAGGTCAGAGTGCAGCTCAGGCCCGTATGTGATGACATGTTTTAGACATCACGGATCTCAGCAGAACGCTGTAGACGGTTTGTGCGCTCATGGTCATCATTGTTTTACTTAACATTTTTTCCAGAAGAATTAAAGTGCATCGTGGTATAGAAGCTGGAGGACCGGAGGCCAGGCTGCCTGTTTCACCCGTGTTCTACTGTGTTCTAATTTCCATGTTTTCTTTGAGCGATATCCTAACGTTACTGAACACAGAATGTTCCTGGAGGATGTAATGAACTTATTGCTTCATGCAGTTGCCAGCACGTTATTCCAACATGGTTTCAGAGAAAAAAAAACGCTGAGATTATTACGTGCGTAGAGAAAGACCTCTGAGAGTCCCTCCAGAGAAAAATCACAAGATATTACACGGTCATTTGTAGTTATTACAAGAACCATTATGGGGTAAAACTATAGACCAGTTGAGGAGAAGTATACGGAGCCTTTACTGAAGTAAAAGTAAAAACTATCGAATGTACTTTGAAGTCCTGCATTAGAAAATCCTCCCTGAGTAATAGCAGCACTGGTACTGCTGATTGGTGCTTTAACTGTATTCTTATTGGTACTTTTTGATTGTTTGTTTGTTTTTTTAAGAGAAAAAACTAAACAAATTAAGAACAGAACACAGAGCTTCATTTCCTCATATGTACTGTGAGAATAAACATGTCTATGGACACTAATGCCGTGTTGGTGGCATGATGGGAGCTCCGTGGACACCAAACAAAACATTATGCTGTGAGTTTCATTAAACTCTCCAACATTATACCAGAAATAAAAGCTCCACCTTGAACAGATAGTAAGTAAACGTCAGCGCATTGTGCTGATGAAACCTCTTTCACTCTCCACTTGTGAGGATAAATGAATGCAGCACTTTACAGTATTTTACTGTGATTTTCATAGTTTAGTGAAGTCAGCGGTTGAAGTGCTTCTTCTTCCACTAACGCCAACATTCAGTCAGAGAAACAGTGAAAATCTGGTGCGACAGTTTGTCTGCAGTCCTAAAATCACTAAATCCTGCTGCTCTGAAAGTGAAACTGAAGTTCTGATCAACGGTTTGGATGACGCCCTGAACTGACTGAATGAGTTGACTCTGTGTGCGGCTGCTGGCAGACGTGATGTACCTGCTTAGTGAGAGATCAACTATGAGCTTGGCAGTCAAACTGAGCGTTTGCTCATCTGTACGTGATGAACTTTTACAGATTGGTTGTGTTTCTGCTCTGACATGCAAACGACTTTTTGAGAAGGAACATTTTCTGCAACAGCTGCAGAGAATTAAATCCTACTTTTGGACCTCCGTCACCTGTTTGTGCTGCATGGAGCTGCAGGCGACACGTGTCTTAAGGTGATGAGGTAGAATTTGCAACATAACGATCTTCTTGATTTCTACATTTCCGTTAGCAGAGCCTTCAACGCGGAACTTCTTGACCCTCTGATGTTTAAAAATTCCACCCAGACGCTCATTTAATACCGAGGCTCGGTCCCCATCCCTCTCTGTGACTGATGCATTATTGTATGTAACGTCATTAAACTACTAACAGTGAAGCATCAGTGTGTCGGCAGCAGCTGTTACTG